TATTTTCTAATTTTGCTGTAAATGTAGAGCAGGAAAGTAGGAGAGTACCTGAAGCAAAATCCTTTTAAAAACTGGTGTTACTGGCCAGGCGCAGTGGCTCACGCCTGTAATCCCAGCACTTTGGGAGGCCGGGCGGGGGGGGGAGGGGCGCGGGAGGGGGACGGATCACCTGAGGTCAGGAGTTCAAGACCAGCCTGGCCAACATGGTGAAACTCCGTCTCTACCAAAAATACAAAATTAGCCGGGAGTGGTGGACGCAGGGGCGGGGGCGGCGCCTGCAATCCCAGCTATTGGGAAGGCTGAGGCAGGATAATCACTTGAAATCCAGAGGCAGAGGTTGCAATGAGCTGAGATTGTGCCGTTGCTTTCCAGCCTGGGTAACAAGAGCAAAACTCCATTTAAAAAAAAAAAAAAAGTATGGTATCAAGGAGTTTGTTTTGTTTTGTTTTTTAATGCAATATATTATAATATGTTTGTATGCTCATGAGAATAATTCAGTGAAATGGTAAAAAAAAAAAAATTGCTGAAGCAGGAGAGTAGATATTTATAGATGGTTAGTTTTTTGAGAAAACAAGCGAGGATGGGATCTAACCTCGTCAGGGAGAGTAGAGACATCAAGGTAGTTCTACTATGGCAGAACTTGCTGGAAACCCACTCTCTAGGGTGCAGGCAAAAGCTGTTCATACCAGACACACTCCAGTATAAAACCCCTTCAGGAGGGGTGCCTAACGAAGCTGCTCGCTGCTGGGTGTTGCTGACTGTGACTGAAGTAACTGGATACTAGGTAAGTTTTGGGTGCTGCTGGAGCAGGTGCTGGGAAACCATGTACTCGCTGCAGGAACCTGGCAAACAGCACACGAGAACCAGGAAGCAAAATCGTTTTTCCCTGCAATGACTCTCCAGTGCCCTCTACGGACAAAGCTTCAGGGCCAGTTTGCAAAGAAAACATATTTAACATATTCAGGATCATTTTTGGAGCTGAGAGGCAGTAAATCCATAACTGACAAACTGGGGAATGGAAGGATCAGGCTGACAATACCTGAATCTTCCATCAAATCTACCATAACTAAAAGTGGGATGAGATCATATACCTCTAAATGTGATACAATAGGTACACAGCACTGCTTTTGAAGTATTCTCCTTAAAAAATTGAACCCAGCCGGGAGCAGTGGCTTACACCTGTAATCCCAGCACTTTGGGGTGCCGAAACGGGCAAGTCACCTGAGGTCAGGAGTTTGAGACCAGCCTGGTCCAACATTGTGAAACCCCGTTTCTACTAAAAATACAAAAATTAGCCTGGCGTAGTGGCGGGCGCCTGTAATCTTAGCTACTCAGGAGGCTGAAGTGGGAGAATGACTTGAACCCAGGAGGTGGAGATTGCAGTGAGCCAAGATCGCTCCACTGGACTCCAGCCTGGGTGACAGAGCGAGAATCCATCTAAAAAAAACCATACATACACAAAAGCTCAAATCTGATAAAGCCTCTTAAGTAAATAAAAATAAAAGCTAAGGAATGATGATCACAAAAATGCAGATTGACACTTACCTCTACAGCAGAGAGAGATCGACTAGTAGTATCTGGGTTAGGGACACACGGTGAAAAATATTGAAAATGTTTGATTGCTTAGAATGAGAGATGACTACATAGCATCCTTTATTATCTTATGAAACTTAATCTAAGATACACAGGAAATAGAGGAACAAGTTAATTGATACCATGAGGAAGCAATCAACTAAATCCAGTATGGGGAACATTCTACAGGATAAATGAACTGGCTTCTCCAGCAAATTAATGGAATGAAAATAAGGGAAGGGTAGATTGTTATAATAAGATTAAGAGACATAATAATAAAATGCAACATATTGCCAAAGTATAATCTTTAAGAGTCAATGACAGTATCCTATACAAAGAAAAAGTGAGCATGTATCAAAGATGTACTAACAAGAGACTAGTAAAAAAGAACTAGTTCAAAGAGAATTTAGAAGATTGAATATACATACACTGGACATACATCTTCTATACCTCCACTGAACAAAATTCATTGACATTGCTATTGATCAAAAATCATTTGCATTGACATCACTTTTCTACAAGTTCATGTCTACCCCTAAAGAGTACTCTAAATACCCTAAAATACTAAATCAAAGTTAAACTACCCTAGAGAATTTGATAATTTTTATGTAGGCCTACTAGAAAATGCTACAGTGTCGTTCAGGCGATCAAGCCTGTAATCCCAGCACTTTGGGAGGCCCAGGCAGGAGGATTGCTTGGGTCCAGGAGTTTGAGACCAGCCTGGGCAACATGGCCAGAACTTGTCTCTACAAAAAATACAAAAATTAGCCAGGCATGGTGGCACACACCTGTCCCAAATACTCAGGAGGCTGAGGTGGGAGAATTACATTAGCTCAGGAGGTAGAGGCTGCAGTGAGCCATGATTGCACCACTGCACTCTAACCTGTGTGACAGAGTGAGACCCTGTTTCAAAAACAACAAAAAAAATTTTTTTAAAGTTGAATTTGTCATTATATATTATACAATATATTTTCACTAACTTTTGAGCTAATAGACATTTAAAAGTCACCAAATTTGGAATACAAAGTATTTTAAATGACATTCCAAGTCATATAAGAGATTGGTTCAGCCTACGCTTTCTGTTCAAAACCCAGTAGTTAATGCTATTAGCATTCAAAATGCCTTTTTTTCCTTTTAAAAAGGACAGTTAAACCTGTTATTTTTTACCCTGCAGCCAATTCTTAGCACAAAGCAGGCAGATTTTAGCAGCACAAAAGTTATTTATTAGCTTATGCCTCTACCAGAAAACAGAAATGTTGGCTTAAAATTGTTTCATTGATGTAACTTTTACTTTTTCCTTTACAGATATTCATTTATTCATTCTGGCCCTAATACCAAGGTATCCTTCACACAAAAGATTCAAACAGATTCTTTGCATCTTTACCAATGAAAGTTTCATGTTTTCAAGTTTTTTGTTTGCTTGTTTTTTGTTTGGAGGCCTCTTTCCAAGCACTCTAGTATTCTTAAAATCCTGAGATTCTGAATGCTATATTTTAGCTCAATATATTTATGCTAAACGTAGGGGAAAAAACTAATATGTTTTCCTTACCCATCATAAGGTCTATGTGGAGACTCCAATAAAAAAGAAGAGACTAACGAGAGAAGCATGCACATTTATTTTATTCAAGTTTTACATGACATGGGAACTTTCAGAAACGAAAACCCAAAGAAATGGGGACATTTGTGTAGTGGTATGGACAGTCAGGCAGATGTATGATTGCATGGACAAAAGTGTATGAGCTAACGGTGATAAACTGAAAAGTTAGCAAGGCCTGTCTATTCAGTTTCTTCTTGGCATACCTGTGTGACAGTCCCTCCCTCAGGGCATAGGAGAGGATGCTTGTCACATGAGGGCCTTCAGATTAAGGAGGGAGAAGGAGGGAGCAGGTCAGACAGTGACCTTCCTAGATTTTGTGGCCTGCTTCAGGGAAGAAGGGGCAAGGGGAACTCTAGTTTCTATGGCCTGCTTCAGGGGAGAATCGAGCAAGAGAAGGTCAGAGAAACCTTCCTGTTTCTGCTGTTTTCTCAGTTTCCAAGGTGCCATATTTTGGGGTAGCACTTCCTGTACCCTGTCATATACAAACCCATTTTCAGACAGCAGCCTTTAGTTCCTCCTTAGATTAAACCAGAGCTGCTCAAGGAATGTAACTACTAAATCATCTTGCTCCATTTAAGATATTTATTTCAAATGCAAATAATTATACCATACCCTTTGGCCTAGTCAGCACTGATTCACTATTTCAAAGCTTTACATTTAAGCCTCATAACAACCGTACGAAGCAGATCTAGTTACTTCCATGTTACAGAAGAAGAACTTGTGGCACACAGAGGTTGAGCAACTGCCCCAAAGCCTCACAGAACGTGGCAGACTGGAGAATTCAACCCCATGTAGTTTAGCTCGCTCTTACCCAGCCCCATATGCTGCCCTGGCCTCCATCTGGCATGACCACAGAACTGGAGAGCTAGAGGAAGGAATTTCAACTCTGCTTCAGAACCTTAAATGAAGCAGGAAGCTGTAGAGGGGCACAAAGCTACGAAGCTGCTACAAAGCTGTCTCCTCCACCACAAAGCAGAAATTGTGTTCCCAGCGTCCACTGCTGTTACCCTTACTTGGACTTGAGAAGCTGCACCAATCATGATGTAGTGTGGTGGGAGAGGGACTCAGTGCATGACTGATACCCAGCCAAGCAGGGCCAGGCAGCTTTAGAAATGCCCACATTTCATTTAACATACATTTATTTACATGGAAGCCATGTGAGTGGAAGACAGGTGATGTCTCAACTCTCTTGGGGGTTACATTGAGGGGGAGGAAGATGGAAAATAAACACATTTACAAAGAAATGAACAAGGTGCTTTCAAGTGGTAACAAATGCATGAAGAAAGGGAAACAGAATAATGCATGATGGGGAACTGGTTTCAACTGGGTGAGGGAGGAAGACCTTTCTGAGATGCCAATTAAACAGAGACATGACTGACAAGAAGCAGGCAGCCATGAAAGGGGCTGGGGCAGGGAGTTTCAAGACCAGGTGAAAGATGAAAGCACAGGTACCAAGGGAGAAGTGGCCTGAGGTAGGTCAGAGAGAGTTAAGCGGGGCTGTTATGTCAGGAGCTTCAGCCCCTCCAAGGGTCTTCCATGCCCCTCTAAGTGTGCTGAGAGGATAGAGAATTTTAAGGGGGGTGGTGGATTTGTGGCTGGAATCTGCCCAGAATGGCCTGTGAATGGGCCAAAGACCTCGGAACAGGGAGACAATGCTTAGTGGCACAGCAATTTTTTAAAGTTTATTATTACTTTTTTTTGAGACGGAATCTTGCTCCGTCCCCAGGCTGGAGTGCAGTGGGGAGATCTCGGCTCACTGCAACCTCTACCTCCCGGGTTCAAGCGATTCTCCTGCCTCAGCCTCTCCTGAGTAGCTGGGATTACAGGCGCGTGCCACCACAACCGGCTAATTTTTGTATTTTTAGTAGAGACGGGGTTTCACCATGTTGGCCAGGATGGTCTCGATCTCCTGACCTCGTGATCCGCCGACCGCGGCCTCCCAAAGTGCTGGGATTACAGGCGTGAGCCACCGCGCCCGGCGGCACAGCATTATTTAAGGAGCATCTTAAACACACTTTCTTCCCACAGCATCAACTAAAAAAGCAGGTATCAAGAGGGTCTAGGTAGGACGTGCTGAGACCACCTCCAGAGCACAGGCCCGCCAGAGTTGCACTCAGCAGGTGAAGTCTACACTACTCCCAACCTGGAGAGGCAGCGTGAGTTATACTGCTGGACCAAGGGGAAAAAGACAAAATGCAGGGCTGAGGGAGAAGGGAAGGACAAGGGATGTTAAATGTGGGCGTGGTTTCTTCTGAATGTCCCGCCCACTCCACCACACTTTGCTTAAATACAGTGCAAATTTCCCTACCCCCAGCGGAGGAGGGGTGAAGATTCGGCAGGTTTTAGGGTCTAGGACCCTGAGCTCCTCCATTCATGAATACCCAAACAACTGTAGCCCACCCTCTCACCACTGCCTAGGCGGGCGAACAGTGTCCTCAGCTAGATCTCCACCCTTAGGAGCAGGGCACTGGCTGACCCGGAGAACCTGCGCCGCCTCTTCCCAGCCTGCTGCCAGCCCAGTGCACGAGTTGAACGCCGCTGCCGCCTGGCTGGCCGGGGAAGACGGGGATCTTGACGCAGCGGTGCCTGGGATACGGCAACAGCAGCACAGGGCATGGCCCTGCAGCTGGACTGGACGCGGCGGCTGCAGGCAGAGCAGGAAGCGAGCGCAGGCTGGGCAGCGGCGTACGCTTTGGCGGCGTCAGCTTCCGGGGCCGTGGGCGGGGGCGCGCCCGAGCCTCGTGGAAACCTCCCCACCAAGGACCCTGGGAACCCGTGTCTCGGCCCGCTTTGCAGCCTCTGGTTTCTAAATTCAGCGTCAAGGAGCGGAAACAACCCCCCTGAACTGGGCCCAGACCCTTAAGCTCCTGGAACCTCAGTTTTTCCTTCCGTCGAATGGCGACAATGGCTGTCTGATTGAACGTTATTTTACCTAGGAAGTTATAATTTTAGTAAATAAGTCTCAGAGTATTAGCTTGCTAAAATCCTGCTTTGTCCTGGATGCAAATTTAGGCCACGTTAGGGGAAGGGACTTCGTATTTAATGTTGAGCACCTGGCAAGCGCCACCTTCGCCTCAAATTGCCCTCGGACCCTGATCCAGCACAAGGCCAGAGTTGGGCAGTGAGGGGTCTCGAGAGGTGCAAAGGGGATTATTGCACTCTCAAGAGTCCTACGTAGGGGCCTCCTAAGCCTTAGGATTTGATCCCTTATACCGTGTAACAGGCCACCCCTATTACGCGCCAAACTCAGGCTGCGGCTCTTGGCGCAGCCTCTGTCCCGCCTGATTTCAGTTTCCATTTCGCTGCCCTTGGTGCCCCACCGCCCGCGGCTGGCTGGGGATTTGCCCGGTGATCAGTGACGTAAAAGAAACTAAGGTTCCTATTGGAAGGCGGAGTTCGGCAGGAGCCAATCCTGGGGCTGGTCCGGGAGAAATCTCGGCGAAGGGCCCCGAATAGCCGGGAGATTACGGGGCGGGGACGAGCTGTCGCGCTGGTTGTTCGTGGAGGACTGGGACCCGGAACAGACCGCCGCGAGAGAGGAGGGGCCCGGGCCGGGATTCGGGGCCCGGAGCTCGGGACCGGTGAGTAGGGGGTGTCAAATGAGAGATACAGCGAAGCAACAGTCTCGCACGCGCCCCGGGTTTGGGGCGACCCCAGCGCGGCCGCCGGGCCCGGGTTCAAAACGGGGCCAGGCCCCCGGCCGGGCTCAGGAGGGGGTCAAGTTCGCTGCGTCCTCTCTGCCAGCCGGATCCCTCCTGTTTGCTTGTCCTTCCATTCTCCCACTCCTTTGGGGTCTTTCTCGCTTTCTGGTATCTTGCTCAGACTCCCATCCATTCTAGTCTGCGGAACCAGAAGTAAGCAGGGCCTGGATGACCGTCCGGTTGCTTGGAGCCTGGTAGATGGGCGACTAATCCAGCTCCCTGACCAAAGTGTCATGCTTGCTTTCTTTTTCTTTTTCTTTTTTTTTTGGTTCGGAGTAAACCGGTTTAGCCACAAATACTTGGAGCTGTGCTTTCACTCCTTCCAGCCCATTAGCATTTTTCTTACTGATTTTCTCCCTATTTGGCCTTAGAAAAAAAGTGTAAATTTAACTTTGTGGAGTACATGGTAGGGACACACTTCCAAATCTCTAGTAGATTTCAAATTTTGACACCACGATTTGTGTGTACTTCAAAAGAGGGGAGAATGACATTCATTTATGCATGCCTTACCCTCCTGTTTTTAACTGTTGGCTGAAATCACAATCCCTAACATGTTTTTCCCCAAGTTCAGAAAAATTACCTTAAAAAAATGGGCTTTTTATGTTTCAAAAATTGCAATTTTATTGTTTAAGTGGACTTTATTTTTTACAACACTTAGATTTACAGAAAAATTGAGAAGATAGTACAAAGTTCCCACATGCTCCAAGCTGGGTCCCCTGTTATTAACATCTTACCTCAGTGTGGTACGTTTGTTGCAATTAATGAACCAATATCAATACATTATTATTGACCAAAGTCCATAGTGTATTCAGATTTCCTTAGTTTTTACTTCAGTACTTTTTCTATTTCATGATCCCATGCTGGTTACCACATTACATTTAGTTGTCATGTCTCCTGATGCTCCTCTTGGCTGTGGGAGTTTCTCAGACTTGTTTTGATGACCTTGGCAATACTGAAGAATACTGATAGTATATGTTGTAGGATGCCCCTCTGTTGGAATTTGACGTTTTTCTCCTAAGACTGGGCTTATGCGTAACTGGGAGGAAGACCACAGAGGTGGATTGCGGTTTTCATCCCATCGTGTCAAGGGCTTGTACTAACATGATTTATAACTTAATGTTGATTTGGCTGAGAGAGTGTTTTTCAGGTTTCTCCACTGTAGTTACTCTCTTTTCTACTGTTTGCATGTATTGCCCTCTTTAGAAGGAAGTCACTAAGTGCAGCCCATACCTAGGGAGCCGAGAGTTATATTCCCCCTTCTTGAGGGCAAGGACCTACATATTATTATTTGCAGTTATTCTGCATGGAATATTTGTTTCTCTCTTCTCCGCCATTTATTAATTTATTCAGTGATTAATTTCAGTGTAGACTTGGACATTTATTTTATACTTTGGTTTATAATCCAATACTACTTTATTTTGTTGCTCAAATTACTGCGGCTTTGGCTGTTGGGAGCTCTTTTCACTTTGGCTCCTGTGCTCCTTCATAGTATTTTTATAGAGCTTTTTGCTAATGAGACGCTTGTACTTATGTGACCTTGCCTGAACCTCAAATAGCCTGGTAAACTTGGCAAAATATTTTCCCCTTGTTAAGAGGTAAGGAGACTGAAGGCCCAAGGCAGTGGGTGACTTCTTAGATATCACTTCCTGCAGGGGAGTAACAGGTTGGACTCAGATTGTGTGTAACCACCACAGAAGACACTGCAAACCCCCGAAGAGAGTCCATGGTCTGAATTGAGGCTTCTTGGGAGGACTTCTGACTTGGACCCCCCAGGATCAGAATAGAAAAGACACGGAGAATGGGAAGTTGGTTTTAGAAAACAAAAACATAATTTGGCTGGCATCAGGATGAATTAAGATTTTGCCAGCTTGATAGAAATGGAATTTTGTTTTTCCCCCCAAAATTGTGTGTGTGTGGAGGGAGGCCAGCAGAGATCTAGGTAATGTGTGTGGCCAAGAATGTCTAATCTAAGGAGAGCCCTGGAAGCCTGCTGCTGAAGCAGAATTTTAATGTGGGAAAGGGAGGGTGCGTGGTGAAAGGGGAAAGAATGGAGATGGCAGGGCTCTGGAATTAGAGGAGGTCATTAATTTCACAAACATTTGCAGACCCCCTACTTTGTGCCAGATATTGGAGATAAAAAGGTCAGTGAGGCATGACCTTTGGGTTCACATTCTGGTGGGAGAGAGATAAAATTATCAATTACAGCCACTTATCCATGGCTTAGTTTTCCGTGGTTTCCGTTACACGTGGTCAACCTCAGCCCAAAGACAGTGAACAGAAAATTCCAGAAGTAAACAATTCGTAAGTTTTACATGTGCATTGTTCTGAGTAGCGTGATGAAATCTCTTGCCCTCCCACTGTTCCTTCATCACAAGAAGGGTGAGTACAGTACAAGGTATTTTGAGAGAGAGAGACCACATGCATATAACTTTTATTACAGTATATAGTTATAGTTATTTTGTTGTGTTATTATTGTTAATCTATTTCTGTGCCTGCTTTATAAACTTTATTACAAGTGTGTATGTGTAGGAGAAACATAGGTTTCAGACATCCACTGGGGTTTTTGGAATGCATCTCCTGAGGATTGAGGGGACTCCTGTACGAATGGATCTTTAGCGAATGGGGGGTGCTACTGTATGAAGCAGTGTGATAGTGCTATCGTAGAAATACAGTATATGCAAAGCTGCAGGAGCTCTCCAGAGGAGGGATACATTCAACTCAGAGATGGGATGGGCGCAGGAAACTCCTCACAGATAAGGGGACAAATTGTATTCAAGCTTTCAAGGACGAGCTGGACTGGAGAGAAGAGCACGTACAAGGGAATGGGCGGAGAGTGGGGAGTGAAGAAGGGGCTGTCTTCATGGTTCAGTGTATCTAATGGCCAGAGAATTAGGTAGGACGAGGAGGGATTTGGGGCTGGATGGGTAAGTTGGGGCCAGCCGGATGCAGGGCAGGGGAGGATGCCTGTGCAGTTTTGTTTTTGTTTTGAGACAGAGTCTCGCTCTGTCACCAGGCTGGAGTGCAGTGGCACGATCTCTGCTCACTGCAACCTCCGCCTCCCAGGTTCAAGCAATTCTCCTGCCTCAGCCTCCCGAGTACCTGAGACTGCAGGTGAATGCTACCACGCCCAGCTAATTTTTGTATTTTTAGTAGAGGCTGGGTTTCACCACGTTGGCCAGGATGATCTCGATCTCTTGACCTCATGATCCGCCTGCCTCAGCCTCCCAAAGTGCTGGGATTACAGGCATGAGCCACCACTCCTGGGCCACCTGTGCAGTTTTGACCTCAGCTAGTAGGAGTTTTTTTGTTTTGTTTTTAATTTATTTTTATTTTTATTTACTTATATTTTTTTTAGAGACAGGGTCTCCTTATGTTGCCCAGGCTGGTCTTGAACGCCTGGGTTAAGGGATCCTTCTGCCTCAGCCTCCCAAAGTGCTAGGATTACAGGCATAAGGCACCAAACCCAGCCTCAGCTAGGAGATTTGAAACAGGAGAATAACAGGATGAGATCCTGTGTGCTAGAAGGATGATCCTGGCAGCACTTTTTAGGAAATATGCCACATCTCACCAAATCTAAGATGTTATTTGTCTTAATCCATTTTCTCTTGCTATAACAGAATACCATAGACTGGATAAATTGTAAATAACGTGTTTATTCAGCTCACGGTTCTGGAGGCCAATAGTCTCTAGCAAGAATTGCATTAATCCATTCATGAGAGTTCAACCCTCATGACCCAGTCAGGTTTTAAAAACCCCACCTCTTAATACTGTTACACTGGCAATTAAGTTTCCAACACGTGAACTTTTGGGGGACATGTTCAAACCACAGCACCACCAAATCTTTTGTGTGCCCTTATTTTATGCTCCACATAAAAAAATATTTTGCCAGTTAAATTATGACATGCCATTGATCACATTTCAGAGATGCCAAAATGTGATGTCACAGGTGTCTCAAATTTGATGAAAAGCAGTAACTCCCTAGCTGATGGCTTGGATTCCTCCCTTTCCCTGGATTAATGGTTAGAATATCTCCATCTCACTGACTTATAGATGGTAAGTTACCAAGGGAAAGAAGAACAGAAGCTGGGTGGGCCCTTCCCCTTCTCTCCCCAAAGATAAACATTTACAACATTTACTGGTTGGGTTGAGGAGCATAATATCTGGTCTACTGCTATAGGGTTCCTTGGCCTGTTACTGGGCCTCTCTCATGCTGTTTCCTTTTGGGGAGTTAAATACACACACACACACACACACACACACACACACCCCCATATTCTATATCCCATCCTCCAGAGTGGCAAAAATTAAAGCTGATAATATCAGGTGTTGGTGAGGCTGTGGGGCAGCATGAGTGCTCGTAGCCTGCTGGGCAGACTACACAGCACTACAGTCACTTTGGAAACAGTTTGACCTGATTAGTCAAACTGAGGATACATCTTACCTGTGTGTGCTAGGACATGTATGCAGAAATATTCACAGAAGCAGTGTTTGTCATTGTCCCAAACTGGAAACAACTCATATGGCTATCAGTAGACTGCATTAAAAATTATATAGCTACAGAGCAGCAATTAAATAAAATCAGCTCATGATCACATGAATGAGCCTCACAAACATGTTGACAGCCCCCCCCAAAAAAATACATGCAAAAAAAAAAAATGGAAAAATTCCATTCACTAGAGGCTCAAAACCTGAGAAAATAAACTCTGTCGTTTATGGGGTATATACCTAGGTCTAAAACTAAAGAAAAGGGAAGGAGTGATTCTCACTGTTACAACTTACTCCACCACAACCATTTTCTCAGACACAGCTTTTTCTTCTCCTGGTTTCTGTAAGTTCCTGGAGCGAAACCTTGAATACGATGATTTGATGGTGACGTGCAG